TTCTCTTGATTGTTTTTGTTTTTTCATGAGTGTGAACATTGTTTTTAGTTTTTTTGGTTGTATTTAGTTGTCTTTGCCTTTTCTTTCTTTCTTTTCTTCTTGTCTTCTTTCTTCAACAGTTTCTCAAAGGTTGAGTAATCATTTTTGTCCTTCAGCCTTGATTCTAATCTCTTTGTTTTCTATTATTTCTCTATTTTTTTTCCTAAGCCTTTTTAATTTTCTCTCCCGAGGGTAAAACTGCTCTATTAAGGGGATATTTATTGTATATAATTTTCTTATTTGTTTTAGATTTTGGTACCCAAGGTTGAAGGTGGCAAATTAAGTTACCACGGTTTGTCATTTTCTAGATTGTACTTGATGCTATTGTTATTACTGAATGCACTACTTTAGCCAAGGAGACATAGTTGTGATCGGTTGTCCTCTGGTGGGGGTTATAAACAATACCATAGTCCAAAGAACTGGGTGCTAGGCCAAACAGGCAGCAACCTTTCATCCCTAATAAATTGAAGAGCCAGGATCTTGGGACAGACTCAAAAGCCAAAAGCCAGCTATACCTAGAAGACATCTCTGAAAAGTAGTCATTTCCTAAGGTCTCAATACTAGTAACAAAGCAATTTACAAGCAGCAATGCAGAAAACAAATTTTTTAAAGTGGAAAATGAAAAGACACAGAAACAAGATGCAGTTCCAGACCCCCTGCTCACCCAAGGCAAATCCAGGGGGTACTCAAGTGGAAGAAATAAGAAGGCCCCCACCTAAACTTTCTGAAATAGAAGCAGTGGAAGTAACAAAGCAAATAAATGAAGCTCTAGAAAAAGCCAAGTCAGATAATTTCACAGATAATTAAAGAGATAATGATCATAATGAAGGATGTGATTAGTGAATCTAGATTTTTTTTAAAAAGTAGAAGAGCTTTAAAAAGTGACAGAAATCATGAATGCCCAACACAGGAAAGAACTGGATTCCATTTAACAGATTCACACAGCTATCCAGAAGATTTTAAAATTCTACTGAAAGGCTATGTACCAAAATCAACCAGTGTGAAGACAGAATATCAGATCTAGAAGACAGATTTCCAGTTAGCAATCATACAAAATAGCAAGGGACCACAAAAAAAATCAATCCAACACCCGCTAGATGAAGTAAAGAAAAACATTATAAGTTTGATATGAATCAACAAAAAAATCAAAAGATAGCACAAAGGACATAAAAAAACCTATTCACAGAAGTGGGGGCTGGGGATTTAGCTCAGTGATTCTAGCGCCTGCCTCGTAAGTGCAAGGTCCTGAGTTTGATCCCCGCTACCAAAAAAAACCCCCACCTATTCACAGAAGTAATAGCAGAAAACTTCCCAAGCATGGAAAAAGGAGATAAGTGAGGCATATAGAACTTCAATTAGCCACGATCAGAAAAGAAGTATATCAAGGCATGTAACAGTCAAGATGCCAGATATTCAACATAAGAACAGAACATTAAAAGCTGTTAACAGAAAAGAAACAACCTATACAGGAAAGCTTATCAGAATCACAGGAGCCTTCTCAATCCAAACCCTTAAGTCAAAGAGAACTTGAAGGGAAGTACTGCAAGACCTAAAAAGAAAACAACCTCCAACTAGATTGATGTAAATTATCTTTCAAAATCAATGGAGAAACAAGATATTTCCATGATAAAGAACACCTGAAGAAATTCATGACCACCAAACCAGCACTCCAAAAAGTCCTGAAGGATATTCTAGAAAAAGACAACAATTCCATGAATCCCAATAATAATGAATCCACTGGGCAAGGCAAGCAATTAAACAGAGGAGACAGAAGGGGAACCAACAAGAAGAAAATAATATGACAAAGATAAATAATATGATAAAGATTATATAATTATAACCATCAATGGAAATGGTCTCAATTCATCAGTCAAAAGAAAGAGATTGGCAGAATGGATCAAAAATAATATCCAACAATATGTGCATATAAGAAACACATTTAACTCAAAGAGAAATTCACAGACTGAAAGTCAAAGGATGGAAAACAATACTCCATGTGACAGGAACCCAGAAAAAAGCAGAGGTAACTCTTCTATTTGCAAACAAAATGGATTCCAAGGCAAGACTGATCAGAAGAGACAAAGAAGGTCACTGCATACTTGGTGAGGGAATAATCCAAGAGCAAGAGAGAACAATCATATATGCACCAAATACCAGCATACCCAACTATATAAAACAAATAATGCCATATGCGAACTTATAGGACACAATGAAAGCAGTCCTCTGAGGGTAATTTATAGCGGTGAATTCTCACATCAGAAAAACAGAGTGAGCTCAAATAAATAACCTAGTGTTGAACCTCAAGCTTTAAAAAAAAAGAGCAAGTTAAACTCAAACCATGTATGAAGGAGGAAATTATAAAGATCAGAGCAGAAATTAATGCAACTGAGACTAATAAAATACAAGTAATCAAAAAATTGAAGAGTTGGTTCTTTAAAAGATTAAATAGACAAACTGTTAGCCAATGTTTTCAACAAAAAGAAAGAAAAGACTCAAATCCATGCAATGAGAAATGAAAATGGTGAAAACATAACGAATCTTGAAGAAATTCAGAAGATAATGCCTACTTTGAGAACCTGTACTCTGTAGTAAGATGGTAAACGCAGAAAAAAATGGAGAGATTCCTAGATACATATGCTGTCAACAAAGACAGCCCAGGTCCTAATGTATTCCCTGCTAAATTCTACAAGAAATTTAAAGAAGAGCTAATCCCACTACTTCTCAAACGCTAATGAAATTGAAAGGGAATTGATACGCCCAAACTCATTCCTGGAAGCAATCATTACCCTGATACTAAAACCAGAGAAGGATCCAACCGAAACAGAACTACAGGATAAACATGAGACATTTTTAGATAAATGGATGCACCTTGAGACCATACTTTTAAGTAAAATAAATCAGACATACACATTTAAACACTACATTGTTTCTCTCAGGTGAGACACCAAAAGCGCAAACTAAGGATCAAAATAGATGATAGATATTGGGGAGTACAAAGAAAATGTTCAAATGGGAAGGGGAAAGGGAAGGGAAGGAAGGGAAAAGGTACAAGAAAGAGAATAGAAGGAAAAAACAGAAACAAAGGTTTTGTAAAGAAGGAGAGAGAAAGGACCAGGGATTTAGCTCAGTGGCACCACACCTGCCTCACAAGCACAAGGTCCAGTTCAATCCCTGGTACAAAAAAAAAAAGAAGAGAAAAAGAGTTGAAGAGAGGGGAAAAGAATGGGGGGAAGAAAAGGAAGAATAATCATGATACATTATGAACAGGTACTAATTCCCTATGATGAATATGATATTTATATCAAAAGTGCACCAATAAAATTAATTTAAAAATTAAAATAAAATTACATTTATTTTCACCAAAAAAAATTTTAAGTACAGTATATCAAGAAAAAGACATGGAGCTGAGGATTTAGCTCAGTGGTTTCGCCGCCTGCTGCACAAGCACAAGGAGCTGAGTTTGATCCCTGGTACCAAAGAAAAAGACATGGGGGAAGATAACAGGTAGGTTAATTTATATAAGAAAGTCAAAGAACATTTAAATAAAGTAGCACATATGAAAGCTGATGATAAACAATAGTAAACATTGTGATTAGCAGGACTACTGTGAAGTAACTTCATTATAATTTACAGTATCCAGTCCTTATCATTTGGACTGTGACTAGGATTTGCATATTTTAAGATCACACTGTCACACAAACCACCAACCATTAAGGCCAAAGTTCTTCAATATAACCATTTGAGTTAGTAACTGAATGATCATTTATAAATTAACCTTTTGTTTCACAGCTTCCAATATTTAGACTCTCAGCTAAGTGATCTACTATATATAAACAGGCTACACAGACTCTGAAAAGAAATCTGGGAAGAGTCAAAACCCAAGAAGCAAACCTAAAATCAAAGACATAATACACTAAAAATTGGGGCATGGTCTATAACCTTTCATTACGATCCAAATATTAGAAAATCAGTAACTACAGATTTCATTATCATTTTTAAGAAGGGGAAAAAGTAATATAGTCAAGGTCAAAGTAATCTATTACTAACAAAGAACTAGTTGAAATTTTAAATTCCCAACAGTACATCAAATATGTAAATGTGCTTGCTTCTATACAAGAGAAGAGAAAAGGGTTTTTTTTTTCTTTTTTGAGATGAAGTCTCACTATGTAGCCCAGGCTAGCCTGAAACTGTTGACTCTCTGCCTCAGCCTCTTGAGCACTGAGGTTACAGGCATGTGCCAATGAGCCTGGCTGCTTCTTTTTTTTTTCTCTCCCCCGGTACTGGAGATCGAACTCAGAACCTTACGTTGTGAGGCAGACATGGTGCCACTGAGCTAAATCCCCGGTCCTGGCTTCTTCTATTTAATACAACACCCAAATATATAACTAGGTACAAAAGGACAAATAGGATCCACCCTACCAAAAGAAAAACACAAACAAAAGCAACCAATGGTAAAATGATGAAATGATGGGGAGGCAGCGGATCCGCCGCCTGCCTTGCAAGCAGAAGATCCCAAGATCGATCCCCAGTACCGAAAAAGAAAAAGAAAAAATACTTAAAATTTAAAAAAAAAATGATAAGGAAGAATGGATATTATGCTACACGAAGAAATAGAAATTATCACTTTCTTACCGATTACATTTTTTTCCTATACATAAGCTATTAGAATAAAGAAAACCCAGATATGTTTATATTTTAAAGGAAAATCTGTAGAAATGAAAAGAAAACAAATAAAACCAAGAATGGAAGTAAAAGAGAGGGCCCGGGATTTAGCTCAGTGGTTCCCCTGCCTGCCTCGCAAGCGCAAGGACCTGAGTTCAATCCCCGGTACCAAAAAAAAAACATGGAAGGAAAAGAGAAAAAACCAGAAAAATAAAAGAACCAAGGCAGAGCAGAAAGAAGAGATAGAGAAAAGACAGAGAACAAAAGAAAAAACTGAGGTATGGTTTAAAGAATATTACCTTCTTGAAGACCAGGATGTATCACTTGCTTGTGCCTCAAGGACTTCAAATCTTCTATCAATTCCTTTTCCAACTGAGAAATTCTTGCTCTGCAACCTACTCACAAAATAATGACAAAATAAAATACTGTATAATACAGAAGAATAAATGTGATATATCCCACTACTATAGTCCAAATCAGAAATATATCCCATTTTATACTATCATGTAATACCTGGGTCATTTGTGGTTGACTCCTGAAGACTAGAGGGTTCTTCTGTTGTTCCATCAACTGCATGAATGTCTAGAGCTTCCTATGTATTAAAAATAAAACTATAATAGTTAATTATAATTCTAAATTATTTAAGTAAATCAGGATTTAAAAAGAAAAAAGACCAGGAGAAAATTATCCATGTTTACACTGACAACTCCAAATGCACAGAGCAGGAACAATTATTTTACATTTTTTGATATTTTCTAAATGTTCTATATTAATATTACTATCAGGGGCTGTGGGTGTAGTTCCGTGATAGAGTGCTTGCCTAGCATGTTCGAGGCACTGGGTTTGATCTCTAGTATGGAAGGGTTCGCGGTGTTGAATGTCATACTCAAGCCAACCTCAAACTGTATTTATACCAATTTGCATGGTGCTTTCTCAGAGCCTTTAAAGACAGCTTAATTGGGAGCTAAAAAAAGGAAGGAAGTAAAGAACGGGTAAAACAAATTAAACATCTGTTTAGATAATTAGAAAGACTAGGCTGCTATAAAAGTCTAAAAAGTAGCTATTTGGAGAGTAGGACAAACAGGAATTATCAATGTGTAAGACAGCAGAGTTAGTAAGACTATTACTTGGTTTTCCAATAGTACTCTATTACTACTGACCAAGGGATGGGAAGGATAGGGTATCCCAACAGTCAATGAACTTCTGATGTATTTCTATGCTTTTTAGAATTCTATAATGATGAAAATTCCAGTAAGACCTAAAGTTTAAAAACAAAATTAGCTTCGCACACTGTGAAAATCATAAACTGAAATCTAAAAAGACATTATTTTAAAAAATCTATTCAAACACAGTATCTTAAGTGATACCTAGCAATTAAACCAAACATTCTAGATATCTCTCCCAATCCCCCAAATATACCCTCATCAATTAATTCATTCATAAAACTAGATCCCAGTTAATAATGAGCCTACATACAATTCAAGAGTAACTAATCAGCCTTAGAGAGAAAGCTGAAAATCACAATCTTACCTTTGATTCAAAGGAAACAAAGAGAACACCATCAACATCTTCCAAATCAGGCTTCACGTCAGAAAAGGTACTCCCAAGACCTACAGGGGCATTCTTTGTAGAAGTTAAAGACTTTCCTGTGTTTTTAGGTGGTCGCCCTGCCTTAGAGAACTTCAATTTTCGAGGCCTTCCTCTTTTTCCATGGACATTTGGTGAGGCATTGTGATTAGCACTCACAGACTTTGAGGCTGTTGCAATCTTAAGCACAGTTGTTCGCTTTCTGCCCAAATCTTCTTTTCCTGAAAATGTGTCCCCAGCAGCACTCTTTGAACTGTCAAGTATTCTTTCTGAGCTAATGTTGTCAACTATAACAGGATATTTCCATTGAGGCTCTTTAAGTGAGGGATATTTTTGTATCACTCTAAGATCTGGTGAATGTTTACTAAGACCATTTTCTGATTCCTTGCCTAAGCAGAAGCCAGTCCCGTTGGCATTTTCAATGTCTGTAGGCAAATACTCTAATTCTGCCAACACAGAAGATTTATCCTTTCGAGATGTGGAAAGCATGTTATCAGGCAATTCAGAAATCTTCACTGTGCTTTTGGTTACGGCACAGGGCTCCAAATAGACTACTGGCATCTTTCCAGCATCTAATTTGAACATCTTAGCTTTAGCAACACCTGATGGGCTGTTTGGTAGCCATTTAGAAGATGAATGATCAGCCTCTAGGTTATCAATTTTATTGTGCCTCTTTAGTTGCTTCTCTAATATAGGATCATCATCACTGTTTGAGTATACATCTGTTTCTTCATCTGTCTCTTCCTGTTTCACAGAGACCCCTTCTGGATACTCGCCAAGTTCATAGTCATAATCATCTAGAGGTTCCTCTTTAATGACAACATTGAAGTTTTCATTTGCATCCAATGGTGAGGCAATATGGGAGCCATCTTCAAAACTGTTGGCAACAAGACTAGAGAGACAGGAGAGGTTAAAAAAAACATACAGACTACCCACATAAACAAGACCCAAAGAGGAAAAAGAAGTTGTTTTTTTTTGGTACCAGGAATCGAACTCAGGTCCTTGCACCTGCAGAGCAGGCGGCAGAAACACTGAGCTAAATCCCTGGGCCAAAAGAAGTGTTTTCGAAACTAAACAACATGTCAGATTTTATGAGCCACTCCTCAAAGCACACAGTATAACCCAAAAAGGTTCTCAAACGCAGTTTATCAACATTTTACATTCTTTTCAATTTTTCATTAAAAAACAATATAAAATTTCTTATCATTAAATCAAAATGCATGATACATAATGCTCATTTTCCTTTAGGTATTTTTCAAATGAACTCAATTTTGAAAATTCTAACACCAACAATTGACAATAATGCAAAAACATGTCTGTTACAACTAGGAATTGCAATAAACTAAGATAGGGAATACAAACCATCAGCTAAGTTTTCTCTTTTGTGTTTGAGATGAAACTCACATAACTTAAAATATAATATCTTAAACACATTAAAGTATATACTGTTTTTTGTATTCATAATGTTGTTGCGAGATGATTTTTCAACTTTGAAATGGAAAAACTCACTTTCAATGTAAAGAATTTGCCACTAATTCTTGTAAAAGAAAAGTAGTTAAAAGAAAAGTACCTATGACCCAGACAGTATATTATTTTAAATAACACTGTAACAACCAGTTTTCCCTTTCTTCTCAACCTGGAGTAGTGTACAACAGTTCACAGCAAAACAACTCTAAATTAATTAATTAATTACTTTATTTATTTTTTGGTACTGGGGATCGAACTAGGGACCTTGCACTTGCAAGGCAGGTGGGGTGGAACCACTGAGCTAAATCTCCAGCCCAAAGCAACCCTAAATTTAGAAGTAGTAAAGTTACACTTCAAAGTTTTTTTGCTGTTGCTGTTTTGTTTTGTTCTGTTGTTTGTTATATTACAGCTCAAACCCAAGGTGCTCCTACTACTGAGCTATATCCCTGGCCCTTTTTATTCTGAGACAGGATGCCAACTAAGATGCCCAAGCAGAACTTGAACTTCTGATCCTTCTTCCTCAGCCTCCTAGAATGCTGGGATTACAAGTGTGTGCCACTGCACATGGCCAAAAATATTTTCAAAAAATCCAACTGAAGACATCAAAAAGCCACCAGGGCAGTGAAGATTTGAGAAACCAGAACACAAACAAGGGTAGTAAACTGTTAGGTACTAAATAATATAGACACTTTTACATCCATTACCCTCATTAATGTTTTCTTCCTAAAATAAAGAACTGTATTACTGTTACTTCCCTATTAAGGTAAACAAATGATCCAACCACACAAATCTTTACTTTTGTGTTAGTCCAATTTAATACATTTCCAATACCAATTGATCATTATTAATGTAGCACTGATTTTCTTAACTGCATACTAACTCAAAATCAGTTTGTATAAAACTTTATCTCAAATACAAACAAGCAGCCATCACATGAATGTGTAGTTCCTATTCCTGAACAACTTAAGATCTTGAAAGCAGAAAAGTTACACTTCAAAGTTTTTAACTCAAATATCCTTCAATGGAGGACTTCCACTTCTACTTAGAACGTGAAAGATCACAGAAAACCTTCATTTCTGCCACAATGAGAAAGCAGTAAATATTTTTCTTAAAAGGCACCGAGGAATTCTGGGTGCAAATAAATCTAAATGAACTGAATTTTGGAGTAGGATTAGCCTTCTCTAGTTGACCAGAGATTGCGACTGCTTTGAACTCTTTACAATGACTAAAGACAGTGAAGTGAGAAAAAGGCAGCTATAGATAAAGGCTCTTGTTTGAAACACCCAGAAACCAGATAAATACCTAACTTTCCCACCTCACCCCAAAGGGAGCCTTGGGAGCTCTGTATTATAGGCCCAGTCCTTTTTCTTTCTGAGAAAGGGTCTCACTCAATTGCCCAGGCTGGCCTCAAACATGCAAACCTCCTGCTTAAGCCTCCAGAGTAGCTAGAATTAGACATGCACTATCAATCCTGGCCTGGCCCAGCCAAACTTTTATTTATTTTTTTTTGGTACCAGGGATCAAACTCGGGTCCTTGCACTTGCGCAGCAGGCAGTGAAACCACTGAGCTGAATCCCCAGCCCAGCCAAACTTTTAATAACTGAGCATGGGCAGACTAGAATCAGGAAGAGCCCAAAAAGAAAACTAGTCCCTACTACCATCGAGTTATGCTCCAGAAGACTTCAGTAGGATAAGCAGCAGTGATGCAGAATGGTTGGCCTGAAAACACAGAACTTGTATTCTACTAGTGCTCAGGTCTCAAAGTTTGACAGAAAGAAGCGCCCTTACATAGCCTTACCCCCCTAACATAGCTGAAACCCAACCTAAACTGAAACTTACTAAAGTGGTAAGTCACCTAAAACAGCAAAATAGTGAGAGCTGGAGGGGTCCAGAGATTTGTAGCACAACAACAAATGATCTAACAAGCAGGGCGTGGTGGCACACCCTTGTAATCCAGCAGGAGGATGCTATGAGTTCAAGGCCAGCCTGAGTTCAATGCCAGACTGAACCACATAGCAAGACCCTGTCTCAAAAAAAAAAAAAATTGAAAAAAAAAACATCAAACACACTAGAAGTTGCACTTCCCAAATGATAGAAAGTAGAGAAACAGTTAAATGGCAAATAAAGAAAAATCTTCCAAAGCAAATGAAAGATTTTTAACCCACAGATCCAAGAAGCTCAGCAAACACAAACAAGGACAAAGTTAAGGAGAGTCACTGTGGCACAGATCTGCAATCTCAGCATTTAAGGAGGCTTACGTAGGAGGATTTTGAGTTCAAGGCCAGCCTGGGCTGCATAGCAAGACCCTATCTCAAAAAACAAAACAAGGCCAGGAATGGTAGCTCATGCCTGTAATCCCAGAACCCAAGAGGCTGAAGGAGGAGAATCGCCAAGAATTCCAGACTAGCCTGGATTACATAATAAGTGTGAGGCCAGCCTGGACTATACAGCCAGACTCTCTCTCAAAAAAAAAAGTCTAGTCACCTAACCACATTAAGGTCAGGATGCTGAAAATTAAAGATCAAAAGGAAAAACCTGAAAAGCAGCAGAACAAAACAAAACAAAGCAAAGACAACACTATACTGAAAGAACAATGAGAAGACTTCACTACATTGACTCTATACAGTGTTAAACCAGGCCATAATGGTACAAATCTGTAATCCCAGCACTCTAGAAGACTAAAACAGAAAGACTACAAATGTAAGCACAGACTGACTCAAAATAAAAAAGGGTTGGGGATGTAGCTTAACCCAAAGACCCTAGGTTCAATCATCAGTATCACCCTAAAACAAATAAATGAAGCTATGTGAAACTGGATGACAGTGCAGTTTAATTATAATAAAATGTTTAAAGGAAAAAAAAAATCAATCTAAACAATTGTCTATACCTAACAAAAGCAACCTTTAAAATTGAAGATACTACCAGGTATGGTGCCACTTGCCTATAATCCCCGCTACTAGGAAGGCTGAGGCAGGAGGATAAGAAGTTCAAGGTCTGCCAGGGATTGATTTATCTCAGTGGCACCACACCTGCCTCACAAGCTCAAGGTCCTGAGTTGATCCCAGTACTAAAACAAAACAAAACAAAAAAAGAGAAGTTCAAAGTCAGTGGGCAACTAAACAAAAACTTGTCTCAAAATTTTAAAAAAGAGTTGGAAATAGGTCAGGGATGTAGCTCAGTGGTGCCATGCCTGCCTGGCAAGTGCAAGGTCCTAAATTCCATGGGGGGGGGGGAGATGATGGGATATTATATATAGTTTAGTGGTAGAGTTTGGTGGGTTCAATCCCCCAGTGAAGGAAGAAAGGTGAGAGAGAGAGGAGAGGAGACGGAGGGAGGGAGAAAAGAGACTGAACACACTTTCAGAGAGCCCGAGAACCGAGACTGCACCACAAATACTACACCTCCTGAGATTAAAAACCGGATAAGAATGTCAGTTTTTGCCATTTCTATTCAGCTGTACTAGAACTTCTACCAGGAGTAGGTAAGAAAAATAAAACGTACCAGATTGAAAAGCAACAAAATGGTATCTAGTCACATGATATAATCTTATATATGTAAATTACTAAAGAATCCATTAAAACACTATTAGAACTAATAAATGAGTCTGGAAAGATTGCAGAATCCAAGACCAACAGTTTTTAAAGCCAGGAAGGGTGGTACACACTGGTAATCCCAGCTGGGGGGAGAGGGGGTGCCACTGCTGGAGGCTCATGACTTCAAGGCTAACCTAGGCAATA